TAGGCCCAAACACATTAGTCTGCAACTTCTGAACCCCTGCACCCGGGACTAGTGTGACGTGCGCACTAGGAAGGCCCAGGGCAGCGCGCCCCTGGGCAGCAGGCATTGGTTCTGAAACACTGGCGCGGGCCTGGAGGGTAACTGACTCCCCCTGAGGTTGGCATCCGTGAAAGGCCACGTTGTTTTCCCCTGGGCCCCGGGCTTTGGGGCCCGATCTGTAGTTTCCCAATAGAACATTCCCTTGTTTATCCCTTTCAAAAACAGGCCTCTCATAATCTGTATTGTGTTCAGAGTCGACTGAAAGCGGGCAATTGCTGTGGAGATGAAATTGCATAATGACCGTACCCCCATAGGAGCAGGGTCCCCTAACTGCTGTGCTCTCCTAACAGCCCGCATAACTTGTCTTCATACTTTCAGATTTAATTGTGTTTACCTTTCGGTTGAAACCGATAACACTGTCTTTTTACCGCCATGAGTAACTCTTTAAACTGTTTCTCTTTCACTTTTACCCCCGAGCTGGCCAGCAAGCTCGGTAACAATCTCGTGGACTGTGTCTCGGCGGATGGGGGGTTCCCCAGGACTCTGCCTCCGGACGCGCGGTTCCCCAGGACTCTGCCTCCGGACGGGGGGTTCCCCAGGACTCTGCCTCCTCTTTCCCGGGAGCCTCGCTTTCCTCTAGCGCACGTCTTCCTCTCGGGTTCCCGGTGACTTACCCACCGAGACCTTCGCTGTGGACCCTGCTCGCTGCGCCAACTGTCGTGCTCGCGGGACGCGAAGAAAACTCGAGACCCGGAGAATGTAGGGTTTAGGTGGAGAGGCAGAGGGCTGAGGCTCTGGGGGCCCTGCCACCACCCTGCTCCCCACCCAGCCGCTTTTATCTGAGCCACGGAAAGGCAGGTGTGAGAGACAGTGATCAGTAGAGACTGTCAAACGCGCAGGAACAAGTGCCTTTGTTCTGGGCTGATGCTTCGCATTTCTCCTCAAGGCCATAACCCTCTTGCGGGCGAGCTTCCCAGAAAGATAAGGACCTGTTTTCAGTTCCTGGCAGAAAGGTTTCTTTCGTTTTCAAGGGGATTTCTGCGATTCTGGGGAAGCTTGCTACCCAACCCCTTCAGCGTTTGTTTGTTGTTTGCTGGCCTTTCCTACATACAATTGGCTAAATAAACCAATTTTAAAAGAGATTGACAAAAGAGATAAACATGACTGTCTACAAGACAGTCACCATTCACCATTAATATTCACCATTAATTATACTTGTAAGTGGAAAATAAAAGGATTTTTAAAATGCCCCACACAAACATGACCCAAAAGAAGAGCAAGGTGACTATATGAATATAAGATCCTGTCAACCTCGGAGGGAAAAAAACGACCAGGAGAGAGGGGGACATTCCATAATGATACAAAAGTCAATCTCCCAAGAAAAAATAACAACCTCAAGTGGGTGTGCAAGCAAGACCAGGCTTTCAAAATACATGAAGCACATGAAGTAAAAAACTGATAGAAGAGAAAGGAGAAAGGAGCAGATTCACAAGTAATTGGAGACTTTGACAGCACATCTCTAAACAAGTAATAAAGCTACTAGTCACCAAATCAGCAGGGGTGTAGGAGAACCTAAAACACCATCAAACAACTTGATCTAATGGACCTTTTAAAAACACTTTACCCAACAAGAGCAGAATTCACACCCTTTTCAAACACCCATGGAATACTCTCCGAGACAGACCACATTCTGGGCCAAAAACACAAATCACGATAAGTTTTTTTAAATGGAAATTATATAGTGTGTCCTCTGACAGCAATGGAGTAAAAGTACAAACCAAAACAGGTAACAGGGAAATCTTGAAACGCTTAGAGACCAAGCAACATATTTCTAAATAATCCATGGGCCAGAGGAAGCCCTAAAAGAAATTGTTTAATTGAGCCGAATACAAATAAACATACAGAAATAAATATACAATAGATCAACATTCATGGGATGCAGGGAGAGCGGCAGTGAGCGGGAAATGCGTAGCATCAGTATGCACATTGGGGAGGGGAAGCATCCCGCTATCAATCCAGCTCCCCCCCCAAGGACCTGGAAAGAGGGGGGGAAATAAACCAAAGCAAGCGCAAGGAAGGAAATGGTAGAGCACAGAAGCCGACGAACTTGAAAACACGAAAAGGGAGAGAAAATCGAACCAACAAAAGCTAGATCTTTGAAAAGTTCAATTAAGTCGACAAACTTTTGAAAAGCTAACAAAGGAAAATAGATAAGACACAAATTCCTAGTACTGGGGATGAAACAGGCAATATTACTACAGAACCTGCGGGCATCAAGGATTCCAGGGGCGCTGGCTGGTGCGGCTCAATGGTTATGTTAGAGTAGCGGATAGAGGTGAGCCGGGAGAGGCTTCGAGAGGCAGCTGCGGCTTGGAGGAAATAAGTGCAAGATGGGACAAACTGAAAACAGGCAATGGAGGTGGCGGGAGAGCTTTCCTACCTGAGCAGGAGAGATTCAGAGCCCCCAGGATGTGGTCTCACCGGTGGCATAGCACCTCGATGAAGGAGCCTTGCAACTTAAACATACATTTTTTGAGACATTGGGGAGGGGGTAACTTGCTCTTTGCCTAGGGGCGGTCCAGCCTAGGGGTATAAATCCTCTAAACTCCCAAATATCGGGGCAGGGGTTCCATCTCAGCTAGCTAAGCTGCCTGCTCAGCTCCTAGCTGTGTGTATTTCTTTCCTACAAATAAACCCTCATTTGCTTTTGCTCTTATTGGTAGTCTCTTGTTGGAATTCATTCCTACAAGCAAGGCAAGAAGTGGGGGCGCAGAGTACTCTCTCTGGCCAAAGGTTATTCCCAGCCAGAGACCCCCTCGTCCACTGCTGACAGCGTCAGTTCCCGCACCAAAGGGTCTCGGATTCGATTCCCAGTCAAGGGCACATACCTGGGTTGCAGGTTCCATCCCCGGTCCCCAGCTTCGGTTGGGGAAAGTACAGGAGGCAACCAGTCAATGTATCTCTCTCACATCCATGTTTCTCTCTCTCTGCCCCTTCCACTCTCTCTGAAAAGCAATGGAAAAAATATCCTCAGGTGAGGATTTTAAAAAAAGATTACAGGGAATACTGTGAATAATGTTACATAAACTTGGCATCTTGGATGAAAGGGACCATAACTTGAAAAAGCACAGGGTACACAACTCAATAAGAAACAGAATCCTTACCTCTTTTCAGGGTGCATGTACGCAAAGGACTGCTCAAGTGCTGATCAAACCCAACAGCAGAGCCTTGAGGGGGAAATAAGTCAGGAAGGTGTGCAAGGGCCATGGCCCACATGCCACGCCACAAGGGGAGCAGCTGAGGGGAGAGGCAAAGAGCTGGGCTGCAGACCCCACCTGACAACGTTTAACCTGAAGCCGGGCCTCAGAAACTGCAGCCCAGTAACAGCGGCTCCAGCTGGGCCTGTGATGACTGAGTCACAACCCCTTGGGGAGCTCAGGGTCCACACACTCACTGCCTCTCAGCTGAGTAAGGTGAGGCCCTCACTCTTAAACAGGAGGTAACTAAGACCAGGGGATGGCAGGCAATGTGTCATCTCCAAGTGACGCTCCTTGAAAGAGACAAGACCTTGCAGCTCACTATTTTCTTTTTCCGTTTTGAACATGACCTTAATGCAGGGAGGTGAATGGTCAGTGACTCTTATACTCCTTTCAGGAATAAAGCTCACTCTGAAACAGAGCGGACGCTGCCCAGAAGGCCACCCAGCCACTCTGGCCAGAGGAGCCAGTGGTCGTTGGGCCACTGTGTGGAGCTGTCTAGTCAACGAAACTGGGAGCCAGGGGGTAATGTAGGGAGAGGCAGTGCCCTTCCTGCATCCCTTGCACATAGCCCTTTCTGATGGAAGGATGGGGGGCTCTGCCCACACTCTCAAGCTTGCTGCACTCCCTTCCAGACTCCAGTGGGGCTCTCACCCCATTTTCCTGCCAGATCCTACAGGGAGCCAGACTGATTGTCTGAGAACTGGTCCCAGCCTCTCCGTAGTCTCCCAGTAAAGCTGTGTGACAGTGGATGGAAGCAGGTGAGTGCTTCTTATGTGCTGGCTGCTTAGTCAATAGCCATCTCCCCCCACCCAGGCCCCACTGCCACACGCACCCCTGTCGCTCACCTTCTCCCAGGAGCACAGAGCCTGCTCTTCCTTGGGCAGCAGCAGTCCCTCCACAGATCCCACTGAGTCACCGGGAGTGGCCTGAGCCTGCCAGGGAAGCCCCTTCCCCTTTGCCTATGATCGGTTTGCAGTGGAAATGGAACCCAGTTCTAGACAGGGGAGGGTGGAAACAAGACAGCTAGAGGATCGCAGCAAAGATGTTCTCCCTGCAAAAAAGAGAAAAAAAAAGAAAAGCGTCTTTCTTTACTGCTTTGGAATAATGTGCCCCTTGAGGCTGCAGTGCCCATAGCGACCATCAGAGCAGACACAGGACCAACATGATGGTAGAGCCTGGGTCGTCGGGGGCCTTGGTGACCTGCTGAACTGAACCTGGGTCACCTGCCTCCCATCCTCCTGTTCTAGGGACAGTGGGCGTCCAGACTGTTGGAGTCCCTGTTAGATAAAGTCCGCTTCTCACAGCCACATGCATCCTAAGAGCAACGAGCTCCTGGGATCCCCAAGATCCAAGGCACCCTCCTTCTGAAAGCTTTCCCGTGGAGGACAGCGCCTGGCTGGCCTGCCCCGTGGCTCATGTGCTCCAAGGAGTTGGAACAAGACAAGGGCTGATGTGGGCACCGGGGGCTGACAGCTCTGAGGCTCTCGTGCCGTCCCTTCCAGGAGTGGGAACACTTGTCCAGGGCAGGGGCACATTATAAGGCTTCCTTCCTACTCTGACTGCTTCCAGGCAGCTTTGAATACCAGCGATTCCATGTTTTGAGGTTGGTAATCATTGGCCTGTCCATTTAAGGAACTATTGAGCCTCCCTTTAAAATAATATTTTGAATTCGGTCATTTCCTTACTAAAGGAAAGAGAAAGTAAAATTGTCAACTGGGGTATAAAACCTGTTCCACCAGGTGCACATCACCAGCATCCTTCCCCGGCTTGCAATGGCTTCGGTAAGTCCCCCAGAACTTTCCAGAACCGGCTCTACAGCATGGGGCAGTGGCCCTGTTATGAATGCAGCCGCCAGGCTGCGCTCCTGACCTTGCTAAGGCCAGAGCCGCCTCCATGGCTCTGGTGGGAGCCGGCTGTTGGCCAGAAGCCTCTCTTCCCCAGGACGCGGGCTTCCCCGCAGAGCGAGCCTCCTCTGTGCACCTG